TCAGCATCTAGGAGCAGGAAATTGAATAAGGGATCGCAGCAGCAAAAAGAAAAACAGAGGAAAAAAGAATATGAGTAAAATACCGCCTCATCACTGGCGACCAGCTGTTTGTGTGTGGGTCCTAGAACGACTAGTTGCAATCTGTAATGTCTCGACACACGTCTAACGTGACACCGATCGAGGGGCGGGAAAGCGGACTACGGCAGCAACGAGGCCTCCACTATGCCCTAAGCGCCGAGATTGTGGGAGCGAGAGGTCCCTTCTATCACCCATGGGGGGCACTGAGTATTCCTAGAGGAAGAACTCAGTAACCTTTTTTATCGTGAATTGTGCCTGTAAAGAATCGAGAATTTGGGAGTGTCCGAGGTTTTAAAAAACTGTGCACTACTTGCTGAACGTTCTGCCCCATTCGCCGGGGATTTTTTCGGGAAACGAATGTAGAATCGGAGTCGAAGCTACTTGAAGCTCAACGAGGATGAATGACAAGGCAATGAAAGGTTATCGACTTCGGTTGAGATACGCCAGGATATGATCTAATTTCGAAATGATGAAAAGCAATGATGATGTTGTGGGGCCCACCAAGGGCTCGATAAGCTTGGATGATTTTCGAGTTGCAGACAGTACAGTTGATCATTTCAGTGCAAGAGGCAACTCTTGGCATCTGTACATGCATGGCTTACCAGCAATGATTAGCAGTAATGGAAGAGTTTGGGCAAGCGGTTCGTTCTCCTTCCATGTCACTTGCCGTTTCGATTTCACTGCATGGCCGTATGATGAGCAGGTGAATAGCTAATTTCATTATTCATTACAGCATAATTAGAACTCTTCGAATTTCACAAATAATCATTTAGAACGTGAGGAAATTTAACTAATAATAATCACTATAAAGCATATTTCTTAGGCTGCATCCCATTTTGCTGAAAAAACTACCTGCCAGCATTTTCCCAAATATGTAGAACCTTCTGATTCTTTGTCAAATAATCCAATTTAGTCAACCTTTTTCGGCATTTCCTTAAGACTGGCTGGAGGGGTCTTAACTACTTTACTGAGACCAATTCGGCCTTTTTTTTCGTTATTCAAGTGCCAAGTCGAGTAGGTAGACAAACTGAACAGTAGTAGTAAGCAACATAAAAGGCGACAAAGGACCTGTGCTCGTCTGAAGGTGATAGACTGTACGATACATAATTTTCTTCAATTACAGTTGACAAGCCCCATCTGCAAGACCTTCAGAATTCTAGTGGAATCTACTGAGGTTTAGCCTTGTTTTATGCCCTTTCTCCTCACAGAAAAGGTTCTGTGTATCGGCTTGAACACATTATTTATATTATTTATTTTGCCCATATAATAATATAGTTTTCACTTGTAACTTTAGTGGTTAAATAAACTTTATTACTCAGTTTTTGTAAATTCGATGTATCCTGAAGTTTTCTATCATCGAGAAGGATTTGTGAATTTGTTCAAGGAATGCCCAATTGTTATCGCTGATTGGGTTTACGACCTATCCCGAGTGAATCTCTCAGATCCTCAGGGTAGTACTCCATGGAACAAGCCTACAGTACGTCTCAACTACGATCCAACAGGGAAGAATGAGAAAAAACACGTTGCAGGTGGGTCGCCTACTTCCGACCTTCAGGCCCGATGTTTGCAATTGAGAACAATTCGATTGAAATACAAACAATTTTCGATACAATATCAGGATGTTAACGAGGTTCCGTGACAGTGGCAAACTAAACCTGCTGACATATCTTTCTATTCAATTTCTCCGAATTTGTTTATCGATTGTTGCTTGTGTTTATTTTTTATTTCTGTATTTACTTACTAATGATTCGAGCCGAGGTGATGCAATGGCAAGTGCGCACACTCACACACTCGTTGTGCGAAGATCGTATCCCGGCTCGCAGCTTGTTCAGAAAAAACATCTTCCACCCTCAGATCCTAGTCATTTGGTGCCTGACTGATTGGTGACTCGTCTGGGAGGATAGAAGCAGTGAAGTGTGCGTGGGTTAAATAGCAGAAGTCATTGTGTGGGCCACATACGCATTTGAGACACCGCTACGATTCTAAATGGAAGTCGAGTGCGGGGCTCATTCCGAAACGGGGTTTATCGGTGCCGGTGGACTTTTTGAGACTTCGTCGAGGATTTATGTTTCTTCCATTACCTGAGTGTTGCCTGTCTCGGACCCTAATTTTAAGTTTACTGTGACCGCCTCTTTTCAAAACTTTTCATTGACTAAAAACTTCCCGCTTTATCGCTCTATGAAGTCAGCCATCTGAGGGTAGACGAGACGTTATTGCATTGAATAGCCCGTTTTCTTTTGTGCTTGACTATTAGGGCAAATAAAGTCATGAACACCCTTGTGGGCAAAACTATGACCCTGGTGTTTCTCGAATACATAGGATATCCTGATCGATTTCATCCCTTCTCCCTTTTCAGCTTCATCCCAGCTACCCTAGCTTTCAGGTTCACTGATGAGGGGATGATAAGAACACTGACTTATGCAATGCGTACCTCGCTTATGTCGGTACAATAGCAGAAGGTCAAATACGCATTCAAACCTTGGCACACTTTCGTTGGATTGCTAACGCTTGGCGCACTCCAGGAGGGAAGCAAGCATCACTGAGCTGTTTCTCTTGACCACGCACTTTTTCTTCCGTTAGCAGACTCCCTTCCCACTCTAATCGGATTTTAATTTTCTTTGTCTCTCTGACGATGGAGGAGATTTTGCTTTTTGTCATTAAATTCATGCAAATATCGCAAATTATTCCCCGTTTCAGCGATAACATCTATAAAACGACATTATCAAACTCCAGTCTTGGCATTTCAGTATGTGAGGTGCTCAATAGGGTTAACAGGTAGAGACACTTTACGTAGGAGTTAACCTATTGGAAACTCGGAATTGTAGCCGTTGAAGAGGTTGTAACTGGTGGGAGGTGAGCTACTGAGAAGGGAAGTACCAGGGTGCAGGCCACCACTACAGCATGAATGGGCCAAATGTCAAAGCGCGAATCAAGGCACAGTGAACCGACAAAGCATTTCAACCAAGTAAGGTTTCTGAGGTGCATTCTATGTTGGTGAGAAGTAAAGAAGCACATGTCGAGATGAAGGTGGATCCGTCATTGTACGGGGATAGAGTGGAGGACAAGGCGTTTGGTTGAGAGTTGTTTAGTGGGTTTCATGCTTAAGAACATTCGTTCCACTCATATCACTGAAATCGGGTCACTGTAATCGTGGTTACCAAGCATGAATAACCCAAGGGTAATGCGAACTCAATAACTAGGGAAGGAGGGTTCTGATGTGATTGCTAGCCGCCAGTGAATACCACGTTCTGTAGAAACAGCCGGGGCTTGGGGTCTGTTACACATTGATAAAAGTAGCATACTGAGTCAGCTAGAATGGAGAAAAGTGCTCCAACGAAAAGGTCAGGGAACAAGCCTATTAGCGTCAGTCCATCCCGCTCCTGGATTCATCGTCCTTAGCATTAGACTTTAGAACCGCAGCTGACCGCATAGAAGGACCACATTGACTTTCGGTGACTGGCCAATGTCAAGTCAGTCATTTCATCCTCCCAGACTAGTCTGGAATCAATCAACCGATCTGGCCCTACACCATGCCCACGTGAATCAAAAGCAAAAACCTTCAATGTCATGGCAGCGGCAAAGTTTGTACGGAAAAAATCTTGATGGATAGTATGGCTAGCTCATAAGTTAAAATTTTCTGGAGTAGGTCCGTTGCTTTTCATTTGATGACAGTTTGGACCATTCAGCTTGTTCTACTGCAAACAGACTTGGCGAGTAACTATTCTGAACTCTGGTTTAGTAGCTATGATGAACGTCGTTCTGCTTAAAAACTGAAAAAAATCCAGCACAAAATAGTTTTAATACTCTTCAAAATACTTAGGAAAACCACAGCAGCCACTGGTCTTGAGAAAGTGGTCTTATCACACTTTTCTCTTCGAGTAAACGAATTTCATTGTAAGACGCAGGATCCGAGTATTTCATGC